GGGCTGGTCAGCTGCTCAGGTCCTCCAAGGATAGGGGCCGCAGAAGGACGTGGAGAGCTGTGTGCTCTGCAGCAACGTCTGCATGGAGTCCCACTGTTTTTGCATCCTCAACACATGCGTGACTTGCATGTGCTACAGTAGATGAAGCTCATGGAGAACCAGACCCAATGGTGGTGGGTAGTGGGTCCAGCTGGGCTGTCTGCATGGTGGTTCACCACTGCTTGTTGCTCAGCTACACCCGGCCTGGGGTGGTGGGTGGCAGTTTTAGGGAATCTGAGTTTTGGTACCCAGTGAGATTGTGAACATGCTAGATTAAATACACCGCTATGTAATTCTGGTGGAATCACCGCAGGAAGAGTTGCCTGTCCTATGTCACAACTGACCGCATTCAATAGCCTGTTCAATGTAGCTGAAAGCCATATTTCTACACCCCCAAAGCCCGCGCCTCTGGAAATGCTAAGCTCAGTAAAAGACATATGCAATGTAAAAATGATGTCATGTTCAGTAACAAATGTTAGCAAAGAGCCATGTCTGGCAAACCAAAGGCTGCTCATGTCCAGATTGGAAGTGATCCAGACAATGTGTTGCTGTGGCATGGCAAGCTTAGGCTGGCCCTCGCTCACTCCCTTATTTTACCTGAGCCGGAGCAGCAGAGGCTCAGGGAGGTGGTGGTTCCTCAGGGTCACAGTGCACCCGGTAGAAGTTGCATCATGGCGTCCCATATTCGCATGAACTTGACCCCTGCAGTGTAGGACTCAACGTTAGGTTCTCAGTGGAACAGTTCATCAGTGTCCATGGTCTATGGTCCATGACCGGATACGCTGTCACACTGTGTCTGTGCCTTGGTGGAGGAGTGTCTTGCAGGTGAGGCTACAGGTACTCCAGAAACGAAGAGCACATCCAGAGTCTTGAACTCTTGGTGCCTTGCTTGTCCATCACACAGGTCGTCTGTATCAAGAAATGCTGCAACCCCAGGTGGCAGCAATGAATATGTTGCAGAGATACCATGATGTGGCATATCTGCTCTGCCAGCATCCAGAATGCGGAAGACCTCCAGGGGCTCTGCCAGCAGCATTCAGAGATTAGCCCCTGCCATCCAGCACAGCCACTGAATATGTCCTATTTCCCAGCTCTTTCCAAGACTTGACCCAGAGCTGTTTGCCTGAGCAGAGCTGCATGCCAGGCCCACCACTACTGTGCTATTCTGTCTTCTGCAGCTCAGGGAAGCAGCTCTGTTGCCTGATTCCCAGCAAAGCATGGACTTGTAAGAAAGCTGCCAGCAAAGGCATCCCCCATAATGATCTAGGCTGTGAGCTCTCTCCAGGCTCAGCTGCTTGCTTATAGATGAAGCCTGAGCACTGGACCATCTCCCTGAGCATAAATAGGAACTTGTCTTACGAGCTTCTGGGGTTTCTCATCTCAGCAGGGCCAACAAATGAATTCTAGCAAGGAATTTCAAAATTGGGGCCAGTAATTGGAGCCCAGGCTCGGGTGCTGTGTTTTTTGGGTTGGTTCCTGCTCCGACTGAAGTCCTGGGAAGGCCCCATGAGCCCAGTGGTGCAGGATCAGACCCTTGTGGAAGGGCATTGACATCCAGAGCCAACATCCAGACATGCGCTAACACACGCACACGTACACGCACACGTCCAACCTCCTGCCTAGGGCAGGAGCATCCCTGTCCAAACCATTGTATACAAAGCTATTGATTGGGGTTGGGCACCTTATGTGCCTGGCGTTGAAGCTCCCAGTTTCTCTTATTTACCCCTCCCCCTCGTGCACAGATTCAACGGACAGCACAAGCTTAGGACAACGAGCCCTGTTTATAACATGCCCCAGGTTTCACAATCCGCACAGTGTGAGCCAGATTATTCATTATTACCATATAAGAAACTGAGGAACCCGACTGTAACACCCTCTTGCCATCAACTTCCCCTTCTCGGCTCTATGGGGTTCAGCATCATGAGGCTGTACTGGGGATGAGCAACACAAGTCCTCCTGGGAGCTGATTAGCTTTCAAATGGCAGCCAAGCCTCAGTGCTTAGGTGGATGCTGTGCTGGGAATGGTGTTCCTATTGGGAAGCCTTGTTTCATGGCGCACACCCTAGGAAATGTTTGGATTCAGCATCACTAAGGCCCCAAATCTGGAGAAAGCCGCTCTTTCAACACATGAGGGTTCCCTCAGTGTCTGTGCCGGTCTGAGATCCTGCTTTCCTAGGGCTGCTCCTGGGGCAGGACAACCCTCCCCTTTGCCCCCAACATTGTGTTGAGGCACAAACTAGAATTGAATGACTTTGCCCCAGAAGTAACGTGCTCCAAAGCCATTTGGGGCCGTGGCCTAGGTCTGCAGTGACTGGCTCAGTGTTAGCTCACAGAGTAGAAATGAGAGAGGCTGCAAACTCCCCCTCCCTCCTGCCTGCTGTCCTGACTGCCAACAAGACTGGCTCAGGGATCAGGGAACAAACTGGGAACAAGTCATGGAGGAAACATCAGGGCCTGGGCTAGATCTGGGTGTTGAACTAGGACAAGGGAACTACGTCTGATGTCAGCCACTGGTTTCCTGAAGCGGGATGGCCCAGTGCCACCCCGATAAACGGGCTTGACTTGAATTCCTGCCTCCCTGGTGCTTTTTTCTTTCTGGGTGCAACTCCGGGCTCCTGCCCAAGGCCTGTGCAGTGCTGACACCCTGCACTGTACATGGCTCCTGGCTTCATGTGACCTGCGTGCCCACGGGGACGCCCTCTCCCAGGAGTCCCACTGCTGGCTGAACACCTTCCCCTTGTGTGTGGGGGCTGCTGGGGTTGGGCCCTAAGGAAGTGGTGCGGGCGACCCCAACAATTTTTGTTCAGCAAGACTGTCCTGTCTTGTTGGCTGATCCTGCAGCAAAAGCAGTGACACCTCCCAAGCCAAGGGCCACAGGGCTGTGCATTAGTCTCTTTTTTCATAGGCCCATAGACTCATGCTTCTTAGGAGCATTGTTAGGGCTAAAACTGCATGTTGGTCTCCCCTTTTAGCTGTACCGGGTATCTCTAGGCTTTTCAGGTCTGTGGGAATCAGTTATGAAATATTCCCTCTTGCGTTGGGTGAGCAAGGTTTCTGCTGAGATGTGCCGTGTGGCTTGGGACACACGGACCTGGACTCCAGATCTCATGGTGAGCAACTCCATTACACGCTCCTCCCACCTAATGACAGCTGCTTCCCCAGAGGGAAACCCAGGGCTGTTTGGGACAAGACAAGATCCTGTCAGCTGATGGGCAAAGACCTCAGGAGAGTTATAGTTCATTCCCCCAGCTGAGGATCTGGTTCCTGGTTTGCAAATGTGGATCTGGTGTTCCCCACAGGCTCCTAGACTGCATCTATGCCTGGAAAGAATCCGTGAAACCAAAACTCGGTGGTAATCTGTTTGACATTTGGCACTTCGAAAACAGGCAGGAGCCTGGCTAATCAGTTTCCATCTTTTATTGTAGGAACATGGAAACTTGGAGAATTCTTATAAAAGTTTGCAAGAGGCAGAGATATTCATACAGACACAGTGAGAGTTAAACTGTTTCTGGTTTTATTAATATAGTAACAAGGCTGCATCCGAGATCAAAGCAGGAGCAACAGGTGCAGGGAATTCAGAGAGGGGAGGGTGGGAGAAGGATACGTGAGAAGAATGGCAGGCATCAAAGGGACTGACTTCCATAGAAAGTAGAAATACAATTGCTGGAAATCAACATTAAGGAGATACTACAGAAGGATCCCAACTCCTCAGGGATCCCAGCTCTCTACTGACTGGGACAGGAGCCAGCCGAGCCCTCCGGGGCTGCGGGTTAAGAGCACTCCGATCTCTTCAGGGTCTTCTCGATGCTCTTCCCGTCGTGCGTCACCTGACAGGTGTAGGTCTCGTGGCTCTTCCAGGCGGAGGCGCTCAGCGACAGGTAGCTGCTGGCCATGTACTTGTTGTCGCTCTGTTTGGACGGCGTGGTGGTCTCCACTCCGCTGGACATGGTGGTGCCATCAGCTTTCCAGGTGACCTGGACCGAGCCGGGGTAAAAGCCGTCCATCAGACACACCAGCGTGGCCTGGCTCTTGCTGTTGACCTGTTCCGAGGAGGGAGGGAAGAGGTGGACGGTAGGAGAGGCCTTTGGCTGTCCTGCAAGGGAACAAGGGGGTTCAGCGTTAGATAAAGTGCAATGCTAAAGCGGATTGAGAAACAGAACAAGTTACCAGACCGCACGAGAAGGAGCCTGAGCAGAGCTGGATCTATTTCTGATCCGTGTGGTGCATCCAGCGCCATTAATCACAGTCTGGGACCAAGACAATCTTGTACAATGGCAGGTTATCATGAGGAGGCTGCAGATGCTCCTGGGTACCGCTCTGGACTGGGACCGAGCTGTGAGACGGGGGCTTGCAGGGCATCAGGGCAATCAGGTGCTGTTTCCGCCTGTAGCCTGGGCCTCCTTTTTGACCTTGGCCAAAAGGTGAGCAGGATGAGATGTGTCTACAGATCATTTCACAATTAACCCTTTCCACATGGATGCATGAAAGAGGAACTGACTTCTCTAACCACAACCTCAGTTTCTGCTCAGTGACTTCAGAGGAAAGCTTGCCTTGGTAAAGACTGCGGAGGATTGGCAGGATCAGGGAACATGTTCCCAGATTTAACCCTGCACCCTCAGCTCTCTCCTCCTTTTATGTCTCTCTCCCCTATTCCCCTCCTTTCTCCCTTTCTTAATCACTACATGCTTGATTCTGTATTTCCCATGGCATTACTAATGCCATGCACCCTCCGAGAGCTGGAGGCTGTGAGAAGTACAGTGTTACCCTTAAGGGAAAAAACAATCCCAGTAAATTGAGCCAAAATTTAGTTCGTTGCCCGTGTGCACTGAACTCCCAGTGAGAGACACTCACAAACCAAAGGGCAGCGGGAGCTTGTTCTGCCTGCATCTCTGTTTAGAGCCTGCAAGGAATCTTCAGCCTGTCTGGATTAGACAATATTAGGGCCATTCATTTGGGAAAGTGGCTTAAAGCCCAGGTTGAACTTTTGGAGTTTCAAGAACGCACTCAGGGCCCTGAAGCAATGTCAGTGGTATCACAGAGATGTGGGGAACCTGTTTTTTAAATAGAATATTACATTCACTGCAATTGTGGGGAATGGAGGGGATAGGAGGGGACATCAGTTTCTAGATATTTATAAGCTTTTGTGGGAAAAAAAGCAGTGTTTCTATAGAAATGTAACAGTCAGCTTTATGAGCCTTCCTATGAAAATCCCTACCGAGGATAAATTACCGATTTTATGAGGTGGGTAATATTTTACTGAAGCATTAGCATTGTTAAGTAACTTCTCTGAGACTTTTTGCTAACCGTTAACTCTAGCAACTATGACCCGGTGAAGGAATCAACTTCTACAATGCCCCGCTTCTTATTTCTGTGGCTGAATAGTTCATCTCCCACCCCTTCCCCCTGCTCTGAGCTTCTCAGACCCGCAGCGGAGTCATTCAGCGTGTGCAGACTGGCTGGCCAGGACCCGCTGCCTGGGACCCCACACTTCAGCAGCACAATTACTGCAGCCTCTTCCCTGCTGAGTCTTTCCGCAGATTGCCCCTACCCTAGCCCTGACCAAGACGCTCAGTATTTCCAAGGTGCGGGGAATTCCTCAGCACTCTCAAAAGATCAGGTCTGGGCTGTACTGCACAGCTGAACTCCCTGGCATCTACAGTCCTTCAACATAGTCTGGGATGGATTAATGTCAAGAAGGACACCGTTCAGGACAGTTACAGTGTTAAGAGAAAGTCTAAAGTCAGAGTCACCCTACTGTCACCAGGAGACCTACATGGATGAAGCCCCTGAAGAACAGACCCCCTGTTTTCTAAAGGGAATCAAATCTTATGAACAGGTATAAAGAGGCCAGATTGCAAAACAGTCTTTCCCTTTCATGTCTTTTCATTTGAAAATTTTGTATTCAGCCAAGAGGATATTTGCACTGAGAAAATTTGCCTTTCTTGATATTTTTTGGTCCATATATCTATCTACTGCCTCCCTGAAATAAATAGACAACACAAACATGATTTCCACCCTCACCCCCTTTTTACTCCCTCAAATTGTCAGGATACATTTTTATCAGTTGAGAATATGATTTTTGTTACAGGGGAAAGTCAGCATTTAGTGTAGAAAACTTTCTGCTGAACATTGAGATTACAAGATTGTTTTTGTTTCCCTCAAAACTTTCAACAGAAAGAAAGGTGCATTTGCTGAGAAAAACTAATTCACGAGCCTTCCTTCAAATGACCCATGACAAATTTCACGTAAAGTGACTACGGCTGGATTATGCTTGTTATTGAATTAGATTGGCAGGGATTATGCCCCCATCTAATAGGAGGCTTGGATGAGATTTCAGGGATGATGATGGAGCCCTGTCTCTTTACAGCAACTGAGAAAGTGGCTCTTGAGTTGTCTCAGGTACTAAGCAAATCCTGGTGCCACTGGGAAATGTCTACTACTTGACAAGAACATCTAGGGGAAAATATTCAGGGTCTCATTTTAGGTCCTTAAAATTGAGTCCTGGTGACTGAATCAGGATTCATTTCGTGGACAAATTCCAGAAATTATTGCATGTGAACAGAAAATCCAGCATGCCCTATGAACATCCTGCTCTAACTTCCCAAGGGTCAAACATTTTTTTACAGTCCAGTGTTAAGATTTGCACATGAAGGCAGAGGAGAGCCAAGGCCAGAGAGAAGAGAGAGAAACACAGAAAAATATCATCAACAGCTCACAGTTAGGCGGTAGAGAAGGAATGGCTGAGAGTAATTCAGGGACTCACCGAGGACGGTCAGCCGGGTTCCTCCTCCGAAGGTAGCCCACAGTGACACACGGCTGTACAAAAACCAGTCCTGGCTTCATAGCAGCAAGGGGGCACTGCAGTGGCCACTGCCACAGCATGCATGTGTCGAAACCTGGATCAGGGTAGTTTCTAGTGTCTTGCGCCAGGGTGTCGTCTGCCGATCCTTGTGGAGAAGCTCACAGGAGAAGAGGCAGACTAATGATCCACTTGGGAGTGAAACAAGGGATCGTTCCTTGGGAGAAGACATCCAGGGCTTGCTGGTGGCCTTAGCACACATTCAGTGTAAGAGAGAAGACGCCGGTCCCACATTTAAGGCACTAGACTGAGACCTGAGTTAATTCTTGTGTCTTCCACAGATTTCCTTAGTGACCATGTGCTAGTGGTATAAATTCACTCTGCCTCTGCTCCACAATTGTACCATAGTGACAATACTCACCTACCTCCACCTGCGTGAGCTGCTCCCATGCTCCAGGAGTAGAGGTCATTGATGAATACAGCAGGACGCAGCAGCCTTGCAGCTGTTCCCACATGGAGAACCGCCACCATTGTATCCCCTGCGCACACACAGCCTGTGGGCCTCCCTGCCATGCCAGGTGCCTACATATGCTTGTATGGCTGGAGTCACGGGCACGCTGCGCTGTGTAGCCGAGCCAGTCTGCCTGTACGGTCCTTTACTGCCTGTGTCTCAGTTAGGCCTCTGCTGGGACTGGTAGGTGATAGCTGTCTCTGGGGGGCTGAGTCTCTCCCCATTGAGAGCAGCACCATGCTAGACCAAACTCAACCCAGTGGATGTCTAGTGGATGTAGCCAGACTAGGATGAGGCTCAGTGGCTGTCAATATAGAAAGCATTCAATACTGCATTTAATGTAGATGAAAATTAACCTTATTAACCACCACAGCTCATCCCTCTGGAAATATTAATATGTCTTATTAAAGACATGTCAGGTAAACATAATCTCCCAAACCCACCAAATATGTCATCAAAGACAAAGAGCCCGATCTAGCATGCCAGAAGCAGTGTGTGCAAAGAGTTTAATCAAACTAATGTGTTTCCCTAGCTGCCTGGAGAAAATGTTCCATTTGCAGTGCCCATGACATTGAAAAGCTTAGGCCTCCCCCCATTCAGTGGCCTGTCTTACCTGAACTGCAGTGTCAGCAAGTCAAGGAGGACAAAGTGGTCTCTCAAAGTCACCAGGAACAGACTGCCTGTCAGGAGGTGCGTTGTGATGCCTTGTGTTCCCATTAGGGTGAACTGTGTGGCAGAGGAGGGACGTCTCCAGGGTGGAGATCTCAATGGAGCTGAGTCGGGTCCTCGGTGGAGCAGTTAGTTGCTGCCCAAGGCCCATGTGCTATGACGCCAGTCATACTCCATCTGGGCCCTGGCACTGGATCTGATGCCGGTGAGGCTGGCAAGTCACTCTGGAAGCCAAGAGCCCATCAGGATGGTCAGGACTGTTGGTGCTCGATTATCATCCCGATGGTCCATTTCAGAATATGCCGTAGACTCTGTAGGTGCCAAAAAAAATGCAGTGGTGATATTAATATGCAGCATGTCTGTTCAGTCAGCATCCAGTATGCAGGAGATGGGAACATCTTCCTCCAGGTGGTCTGCCAGCAGCATTTAGGAATTAGCCTGCTGCCATCCTGGAGAGCCATTGAATATGCATTTCCCACTCCCTTTCAGTGCTCACTCTCAAGCTCTGTCAGGAGAGCACAGCTGACATGACATGCCCACAACTCCTGTGCTCTCCCCACCTTCTCTTTCAGATTAGCAGAGCATCTCTGCTGCCTGGAGCCCAGCGAGGCCTGGACATGCGAGAAGCCAGCCAGCAAAACCATCCCCAGTAAACAGGCAGGATGTGAGCTTGGCTTGGCTCAGCTGTTTCTTTATGAATTAAGCCTGAGCACTGGACCATCTCCCCACTATAAACAGGCACTTCCCTTAAGAGCCACTGTCCTGTCCTGTCCCAGCTGCGAATTGTAAGAGGTCAATTTATTTATTAGGGGGCAAGAGCTTAAGCCGAAGATCAGGTGTTGTTGAGAGGGCTGGATAGTGTCCTGATTGATGCCACAGGTGAAGCGCACACAAGTTCAGTGGTGTGTGGGTAGTTCGTAATTGAGTTACCTGGGCACAGCAGGCCAGGCCTGGATGCTCCCTGCCCCGAGCACTGACAAAGCATCCCCTGGGCCCAGTCAGCAG